ATGTTCAATTTCAATACCATACACCAAAACAAGGTCGAGGGTGTGGTTAAAACAGTGAGTCGATTCATGAACACTCTGAGAGAAGCCAATGGAATCTAACAAAGAGATAAACGCAGTACTAAAGCTGTCATTCTCAACGTCCATATGAATATTAAAATCCCCTACAATAATAACTTTGTCTGTTTTAAGGACTAAAGTTGACAAAAACTCTGCAAATTCAGATAAGAATTCAGAGTACGGACCAGGTGCTCGGTACACTATAACGATGAGAATTGGTTGCAGTGATTTCCAACTTGGGTGCGAAAGACTAAGAACAAGACTTTCAAATGAGTTATAGTTTAGTTTAGGTTTAGAGCTGATTAGTAGGCTAGAGTCGAAGATAGCTGCAACTCCACCTCCTCGGCCTGTGCCTCGAGGAATGTGAGTATTAATATGACTGGGAGGGGTGGATTCATTTAGGCTAACATATTCTCCATCACCCAGCCAGGTTTCAGTAAGACCAAATAAATCAATATCATAATCTGATATTAGTTCATTTACTAGTACACCTTTAGAAGAGAGAGATCTGATGTTTAAGAGTCCACATTTAACTCTCCTATTCATTTGCACTATTGCTCTTGTGGTTTTAATTTTTATGAGGTTTTTATGCACAGCTCCTCTTCTGTTTACCATTTTAAATAATTTCGATGGTCGGGGGGCAGACACCGTCACTATAGGATTTTCACTAAGTAACTTCTGAAATGGAGGAGCAGAGAAGTGTGTTAGACTGCGACTCTGCCTCCTGGTCTCAACTCTGGGTTGTCATGGATTTGGTCCACTAATAAACTTGGCCAGATTTCTAGAAATGAGAGCTGCTCCTTCCCAAGTGGGATGGATGCCGTCTCTCCGGATCAGACCAGGTCTTCCCCAGAAAGTCTGCCAATGATCTACAAAGCCCACATCGTTTGCTGGACACCACCTCGACAACCAGCGGCGGAATGACGACATGCGGCTATACATGTCATCACTGGTCAGATTTGGCAGGGGTCCAGAGAAAACTACGGTGTCCGACATTGTTTTTGCATATGTACACACCGACTCAACATTAATCTTAGTGACCTCCGATTGGTGTAACCGGGAGTCATTACCGCCGACGTGAATAACAATCTTACTGTATTTACGTTTATCCTTAGCCAGCAGTTTCAAATAAGACTCAATGTCGCCCGCTCTGGCCCCAGGGATGCACTTAACTATGGCCGCTGGCTTCGCTAAATTCACGTTTCTCAAAATGGAACTGCCAATGATCAGAGTTGGCTACAAGGAAAATAGCACTCATGACTCTTCCCAGGAAGAGCCGGGGCCCAATGTGCTGGTAGTCTTCTCCATCCCTGTCTTGACAGGTAACAGAAAAAGCATGCTGAATGTGTTGAAAAACAGGAAGCACTCAACATATCCTGCAAATTTAGTAGTAATTCCTCGTCAGCCGCAGCCTGTCGAAAAAAGTGGGCCAGATAATGTTTTTAACACACTAAAATTAGCTATGTTAAATGTTAGGTCTTTGGCAGGAAAAACATTTTTAATCAATGATTTTATAATCACTCACAATCTTAATTTCATGTTTTTAACTGAAACTTGGTTGGACCAAGATAACAGTGCAGCTGTCCTTATCGAGTCTACCCCTCCCAACTTCAGTTTCATGAGTGAAGCTAGAGTGCATAAGAGAGGAGGTGGAGCCGCCATTTTGTTTAATGACTCCCACCAATGCAAAAAGATGTCTTATGGGAATTTTGCTTCTTTTGAATATGTGGCTCTTCAGCTGAATTCCTCTTCTCGAGCTATTTTTCTAAATATCTACAGGCCCCCTAAATACTGTGCAAACTTTTTTGATGACTTTGGTGAACTGCTGTCTATAATCTGTATTGACTTTGACTGTGTGGTTATTGTTGGTGATTTTAACATCCATGTTGACAACCCCCAGGACAGAGGGACTAAAGAACTGTGTTGTGTTCTTGATAATTATGGACTGACTCAACATGTGACGAGGCCCACGCACAATAAGGGGCACACTTTGGTCATCTCCAAGGTTGTGGTGACTGATGTTGCTCTCTCTGATCATTCCTGTGTTTTCTTTGAGAGTGCTGTCTGCGTGCACACAAACAGAGGTAATCACTGAAAACACTAGTGAAAAATTTATTGAGGTTTTCTCCTCCACACCCGCTCTCTCACAGGTCTCAGTCAGTGAGCTTGTAGATAATTTCAGTTCTAAAATTACAAATGTTATTGATGCCATTGCTCCAGCCGAGGTGAAGGTGGTCTCTGGTAAGAGAAGATCTCCATGGAGAAATGCCACGCTGGTTAGAACTCAAAAAAGAGCGTGTCGAAAAGCTGAACGCAGGTGGCGGAAAACAAATCTCCAGGTTCATTATGATGTCTACAAAGAGAGACTTCGCATTTATAATTTAGAACTGAGAAATGCAAGGCCTGCAATGAATCTGCCTCCTTCTTCACAGACAAAAGACAAGCAATCAGTGCCTCTATATCAGTAACAGGATATGTCCCGTCCCTGTGTCCACTTAAAAACAATTCATATAGCATGAGACAATTTCATTGTATTAACCATAAAAACCTGGAGGACATAATACAACATCTGAAATCCTCCTCATGCTGCCTTGATATTCTGCCAACAGGTTTTTTCAAATATGTTTCTAAATGCATGGCCTCAGATCTACTACAAATTGTCAACATGTCTCTCCTCTCAGGGTTTTTCCCACAGGCCCTGAAAACTGCAGTCATTAAGCCACTCTTAAAAAAGAGCAATCTAGACAGTTCACTAATGAGCAATTATAGGCCCATATCAAATCTCCCATTTTTAAGTAAAATCATTGAAAAGGCTGTTTTTCAACAGCTTAGTGTTTTCTTGGCACTAAATAACTGTTTTGATGTCTTCCAGTCAGGTTTTCGACCACACCACAACACTGAGACGGTTCTTGTTAAGGTCGTCAATGACATCCATTTAAACACTGACAGTAGTAGAATTTCAGTCCGAGTATTATTGGATGTCAGTGCTGCATTCGATTCTGTCGACCACAACATATTACTAGACAGACTTAAAAACTGGGTTGGACTTTCTGGCACTGTAATAAACTGGTTTGAATCCTACTTAAAGGACAGGGACTACTTTGTGTCTTTAGCTAACCACATTACATGTGGAGTTCCCCAAGGCTCCATTCTGGGGCCTCTTTTGTTTAACATTTACATGCTTCCACTGGCTCAAATTATGAAAAACACACAGATTTACATAACCATTTCACCAGGGGACTATGGTCCCATACGGGTGCTGAGTAACTGTATTGAGCAGGTCAACGATTGGATGTGCCAGAATTTTAATTAAATCAATTAAACAAGAATCATGGACTCAGACCTGAATCTGAGGAGCCACATTAAGACAATTACAAAGTCAGCCTACTATCACCTGAAGAATATATCAAGGATTAAAGGACTTATGTCTCAGCAGGACCTGGAAAATCTTATCCATGCATTTAGCTTCAGTCGAATCGACTACTGTACTGGTGTCCTTACAGGCTCCCTAAGAAATCCATCTGACAGCTGCAGCTGCAGCTGATTCAGAACGCTGCTGCTCGAGTCCTCACCAAGACCAAAAAGGTGGATCACATCACTCCAGTTCTGAGGTCTTTACATTGGCTTCCTGTATGTCAAAGAATTGACTTCAAAATCCTGCTTTTAGTTTATAAAGCACTAAATGGTTTAGGGCTAAAATACATTTCTGATCTTCTGCTTCGTTACGAACCATCCAGACCTCTCAGGTCGTCTGGGATCAGGTCTGCTTTCTGTCCCCAGAGCCAAAACTAAACAAGGAGAAGCAGCGTTCAGTTATTATGCTCCGTATATCTGGAACAAACTCCCAGATAACTGCAGGTCTGCTGAAACTGTCAGTTCTTTTAAATTAAGACTTTTCTTTTTACCATTGCTTTTAATTAAATATTTACACAGCGAGAAATGAGTAGGTAATTTAGTGAAAAGATAATGAGAGTGAGGTTGAATAGACTGAAGGAAGTGGTCTTAAATCTCGCGCCCGAGTGATTTGCAGGAACCTCTGTCCACCTGTAAACGCGAAGGTGGGTCCAGAGTATAACTGGATCAAAGTGGCCTGCGGACAGAGATGTTCTGGTTTCTCTGTAGTGTCCGAGGGTTTTGGAGTTTTAGTGGACCCAAAGATTGCTATGGACCTGAGTACAGACTAGCTAGAGAGAGTAGATTAAGTGTACTTCTCTGTTTATTCTCTTCACAATAATTGTAACTCAATCATAAGTTCGACCCCTCAGCCTGTTTTTATTTTCCATTTAACTATTTTAACCCTGATTGTAACACTGTAACTTTTATTATATTTTATGTTGCTTTTAAACTTTTTTATATTTCCCTGTTGCTTTTATGTTTTATGTAAAGCACTTTGAATTACCTTGTTGTTGAATGTGCTATACAAATAAACTTGCCTTATTTATTATTATTTATCAGTAAACTTCTCTCATACAGCCTGAAACACTTTACATTTTCCACACTCTGATTTATATTCTAATATTTATTTTAAATTGTTTATTCCTTTATCTGCTATTGACCAACTTTCTCTTATTATTTCTCTTCCTTTATACTTTGATGTGCAATGTGAGGAACTGGGACTGAAGAATTTCCCCTCGGGGATCAATAAAGTATTTCTGATTCTGATGAAATGATAGAACATCATTTTAAACCAGAGATGTTTTTCTATCATCAGATGATGTTAATCATCATATCACACAGCCCCATGTGACAGAGTATTAAATGGAAATGTGCTGGTGAACTTGCTGCAGTCTGTGCTGGTAGAAAGATGTGTTCTGTTGTTAATGATGAACTGATGTTGGAGTTGTGCTGAGTCCACCTTGAATCACTGAATTGTTGTTTCATGACATGTTTTTCTTTTGTGTCTGCTGTCTTTATCTCTATTTCATCTTCTATTATCTCTCCAGACTCTGTCAGGCTGCTGGACGGGACTAGTCTGTGCTCAGGCAGACTGGAGGTGAAGTCTAACCAGTCTAACCAGTCTAACCAGAGGTGGTCCTCAGTGTGTGAAGCTGACTTTGACCAGCAGGATGCAGAGGTGGTCTGTAGGGAGCTCGGCTGTGGGGCTCCTTCAGTCCTCCAGGGGGCGCTCTATGGAGAAGTGGAGGCTCCGATGTGGACCAAAGAGTTCCAGTGTGGAGGCCATGAGTCTGCTCTCCTGGACTGTAGAAGCTCAGGCTCAGCTAGAAACACCTGCTCACCTGGAAAAGCTGTTGGACTCACCTGCTCAGGTAGAAGATGAGCTGCAGCTTTGATTTGGTTCATTTCTGTTCTGATGAAAATCACTTTATTGTTTTACTGATGACTCTCTGGTTTCTGTTCAGAGCCTGTCAGGTTGGTGGGAGGAGCCAGTCCCTGTTCAGGAACACTGGAGCTGAAATATCAGGGAGACTGGAGACCAGTGAGATACCTCGACTGGAGCCTGAAGGAAACAGCTGTTGTCTGTAGAGATCTGGGCTGTGACTCTGCTGTTTCTGAAAGATGGAGAAAGAAGTCCTCAGACAGACCTGTGTGGTCGATCAGGTCTGACTGTGTTCAGTCTGGATCTGCTCTGAGGGAGTGTGTAACATCAGATTCCTCTTCCTCCATCCTGGCTCTCACCTGCTTAAGTAAGCCCATTAGTGACATCATCTATGACATCATGTATGACAGTATTGTCTCCAGTGTGTCCTCTCCTCTGTCTCAGTGTCTCAGTGGTTTCCACTGGAAATTGACGTGTAGAGAGGTGGGCTTGTGTCTTTTTTTATTTTTATTTAACCTTTATTTTAAACAGGAAAGTGTCTATGACAAGTCCTGTATTTAGCCAGTGTTGGGCAAGTTACTCAGTTGTATATAATAATTGTATATAATGTAAATGTAAATAATCCAGAAAGCAGGGAAACAGGATGACATGAAGGGACAGATCAAGGCAGGCTGTACACACTACAACACACTGCAATGACCGGACACAGACTGAACAGAAACATCAAAGGGTAACACTTTATTTGAAGGGGTGGACATTAAGACTGACATGACACTGTCATACACATGACATAACACCTGCCATGAACATGAAGGAGTCTTTATGAATGTTTATGACTGTTGTCATTAAGTGTCATTTGGTAAATTATGACACTTTTAATGCAAAGTTGACATTGATTAAAATGTCTTTATGACATGAATATTTTACTTGACCTCAAGTAAAGTGAAACACGTTGGACTAGTTACAAAGATGTCATTAAGGGTTATTACACTGTCAAATGCTTTAACAACAGTGTCATTAATATTTCCCCTTATCTCAAGTAAAGTGGAACAACAGAGATGTCTTGGTTATGATAACTTGACATTAACCAAGAAAAAAATGTCTTGGTTAAGAGAACAAAACTGATTTGGGTATAAAACAGAAAACAAAATCAGTCTCCCATTTGTCGTCTATGGAGCAGCTCCCAACTTATGCTTGATGACATCACAGGTTCTCTGTATTTCCTATGTAGTTGGCTCAATGTTTACTTGAAAGTCAAAACTTGTGCGATGTCAGAAGCAATCTTATTAAAAAACAGACTGGGATCAAAATAAAATGCCAAGATAGGATTTTCTTCCCTGCTTGAACAACCTGTTTGGCCTATCACTGAGAATGCTCCTTCAGTTGTTCTCAATAGCAACATTTTAGTAAAATTCATGAATGTAAAGGAAGGTTATAGTAGATCTACCTTTCGTTTGTGGGTAAATTTGCTCTCATTGATAACAACAAAGCGATGACGACCACCAATTCTCATTCCTCTCTTACTCAGGCGCTTAACGGCAGAAATGCACACCTTCAAATGTAAAAAAAATCAGCAAGTTCACTTGTGATAATGCCTTACAATGGAATCTGATAAATATAATGTATGTGCAAGTTTAGGGATAAAGTGTGTATATGTGCGTTTCCACGCTACTACTTTTCTTAAATAACAAAAGATAATATAGCTAAGTTGACAGTTATCTATTTAGCGTTACCACCTTGCGATCGCATTTTACCAGCTGCAGCTGCTTCGATGGCATTTTGCACTGTTCATCCTCCTCTTCAGAATACCCCATTTCTGCATCCATTTCACTATTCATCTTTTGTTTTTCTTTGTATGAGGAAGCCTAATATTTTTAAGGAGTCTTTGTAATAATCGTGTCATTATTTTTACAGTATGTGGTCTTACGGCACACTTTTGGGTCGGCTTTTCATATTAGGACATATTAGGATTATTACATCGCTTGACTTCTTCCTCGTCACGCTTTAAGTTACCAGACAGAATAGCGACTCCATGTGTGTACATTAACGTGACATTCAAATAACATCGTCATCTTGCGCACCTAACATAAGATACAACAAGCAGACCAGTCCTCCTGTGTGAAAGGAAACAGAAGTTAAGTTACCCTCCATATTTGAGGTAAGCTTAATATTTAATTTAGATCTTTGGGAACATAACATTGGGGAATATTTTTTGTTCTAGGTAAAGTTAGCTTTCAGCAATTAACGTTAATGCTTGCTCTAAGTTTAAATTAGCTAAAGTTAACAAACTCCATAACGTTTGCCAATGATCTTGAACGCATTTTAAAGCCAATTTTAATCTAGCAAATTAGTAACATTACTACTAGGTTAGTCAAAGTTACCCGTTGTGTGTTTTAAGCAACTTGGCTGATGTGCTTTGCCAACTTTAGCCAGATGGAGGCTCGTTTTAGCAAAAGGACACACGGTGGGGGGATAAAGGATGTTGAAGAAGACCTGCTACAGGTTGTGGAGGAGGCGAACGAGCACCAGCCACAAGATGTAGAAGAAGTCCCTGTTCGACCAAAGACAAAGAAGCAGATGAAATATTCCCCGAGGAAATTATGTAAGTAATTTTTTGTGTTACTATTTTCTCCAGAAAGGCTTGAAATTAACAACTGCCACCAGCCCAGTAAATAAATAAGTTACATTTTAAGCAGCTAAAAGTTTGTCTGTGGCTGTTAAATCTGTGAAACTGGTGTTCAATCTGTTTATTTATTAATAAGCCTCTTGCACACATCCACAAGCTATTGTATCTGGCTGAAAATAATTCTTTGAATGCCCATTAACTTCAGTGAAAAAAATACAATTTCTAATGACCTCATGTGCCTAAAACTGTAAATGATGCCTTCTGAATAGCAACATTGGTAGGCTATATGGACTTCTTCTGCCTAAAAAATATTTGATCAGAATAGTTTTGGTCAGCTTTAGTAATTAAAAAAAACTTGTTTAGTCCAGATAAGACATAAATATAATTCTGATAATTATATTGCACTTTATAACAGCCTGTTATCCTGTTACCGCACATTTGTCTGCCTGCACAGTATGCAGAAAGTAGTTAAATAAAGGCTGATTACAATCACATTTGTTTACCAAAAACGTATGTGCAGGGTCACCAATGGGCAGTGGAGTTGGCCAAACTGAAACAACAAACAAAGAAGAAGATAGAACACCTTGAGGACCGTATTAAACATCTGCAGGAGGCCAACAGGGAGTTGAAAAACGAAGAAGACTTCCTTCTAACCCAAATTAAGGAAGCCACTGTGGTGCCTGCATCTAGTGGCAAATCAGGTACAATGGCAATACAATTAACGTTATTCTTGCAGTACTAGATGTTCGGGGAAGTCATGGAGTAGAGAGCAAAATAGTCTGGGTTTTCAAGCGCAGAGTGAGATACTCATGGTCACTGAGAGGCGCTTTACTCAGTGCAACAAAAAGCCATTTTTGTGAAGCCATAGGAAACAATTGATTTAAGGGTGCAGAGACAGAGTCCGCCTCAAACCAAGATGATGCACGTGTAATTTTAATAATACTTCAGATTTTAGATGTCAATCCTTTTAAGTGGCTTTCAGATTCAGATTCAGATTCAGTTTCAGAATGTGGTAACTCCACCTCTGCACTTGGAAACCCATTATTTCTAATGGTATGGGTTTCCACTGGTGCTCTGCTCTGCTTTCAAAAGTGACAAAGGACTTACATAACACTACAGTGTTAGCATCTTCTCTTAAACCTTTACTAATAGATCTCTCTCCTCCATCCGCCCCCAGGCTCTAGAAAGACTGCTCGAGTTCCTCCTTCATCTTCAACGTCTCCTACTGCCTCCTCTTCCTCCGCAGACTTCAGCTCCTCATCATCCTCAGAGGAAGAGGAGAAGAAGAAAAGGAAGAAGAAGAAGTCCAAGAAACACACTGATTCACATTTACCCTAAAGTTGCCCATTACTTAACTGTCTAAAGCTGATGATACAGGGAGCTTCTTTTAGAGCAGTGGTGCTGGGCAATGTTGTCAATGGTAATGAGTTAAGATTACTACTGTAGTCACCCACCCCACCCTGCCCCTTTCCATTCAAAACATAGTTGAACTTGCCACCAGCAACATTGCCCAGCAACATTGCTCAAAAAGTTGCCCCATGTATCATCAGCTTAAGAAACAGCTTAGTACTTAGTTAATAATATTCAGAGAGGGCCTAAGAGATGCTACGTCATGTCCATCTTCAATATTTATTGTTATATTTTAGTATTCAGTGATTTAGATGTCTACAGCCCTGTGTAATAGCAACCTCACTCTCATCGGCTTATGTTAGCTATACAATATATAATAATATAATAAGTATATTTATATCCTCTGAAGGAGATAAGAAAGAACTATGCTTACTGTGCTGGTTCACTGTGCATCCTCCTCCCAGGCGGGTTATGTTTTTGTTCTTTTTTTTTCAAGTGACCACGGTGGATGGAGTGATCAGCCGCTATGAGAATGCCCTGAAGAGATTCACCAAGTTCTCAAGCATGAAAAAGGCCTTCACCAAGATTAATGTTGACAACATGATTGCAAGATAGCTGTAATTGCTGAGCTAGCGATCACATTTCCGGACACCTTCAAGGACCTGCTCCCAGGAAACGAAAATAACGAGAAGATCTCCCAGTTTGCAGAGCGCTGTAGGAAGGCTATAACGAAGGAGATGGCTGAAATGATCACAGCAAAAAAAATAAAAAGTGGAAAACTCTTCCCAATAATGTATACGTACACCTAGGACTGTTGAAATAACCTTTTTTCAAGTTAAAGAAGTAATTCTTCATTTTGTTTTTTTTAACCAATATTTCAGAAGTACAATGTGCTGAACCGGAAGTTGAGCCCTCTGTTTAAGGAAGAACAAGTAATCCTTTTTTTATCCCAAAGTACAAAATGTATGTGCTGAATCAATGCCAGAAGTTGAACACTCTGAGGAAGAACAAATGCAAGTATTGTGCAAATACAACAAAAGAGTATCTCTTGACATTTCATTTTCTTTGGTTAGGGTATTTATAAACATTTGTCAGTGTATTAATGACATCTTTATGACAAGTCTAAATTGTTGTATTGTAATTAAGGTCAAGGAAGATATTCATGACACTATTATTAAAGCTTTTGACAGTGTAATAACACTTAATGACATTTTTATAACTAGTCCAACGTGTTCCACTTTACTTGAGGTTAAGTAAAATATTCATGACACAATCAAAATGGTGTCATAACAGCCAATGTCAAGACCAACCACATATTACAGGGTAATGTAATGTTAACACAAAGCTAAATAACTTCTTTAAGTTTGATAATTAGACTTGTTATAGACGTA